GGGGTGGGGGCAGGGGGGAGAAATGAACCAAGCCTTGTATGCACATATGAATAATAAAAGAAAAATGAAAATAAAAATAAAAATAAAAACATGAGGCTGTTCCTTTTATTATTAAACTTGACAGTATTTGCACAACAAAATTATACATTATAATGTTCATTGTCATCACTTAAATACAAGTTATACAAGCTGTTGTCTAATGGCAACTTTGTAGCATTTAGTGGAAACTGTTAAAACTCTTCAGTTAGTTCCATCAACCCATAATTTCTCTTAACATTTAGTGGAGACTGTAAAACTCTTCAATTAGTACCATCAACCCATAATTTCTCTTTGGGGGCCTGTGCCCCAAATGGGGAGGGGAACAGAGGAAAAAAGGAAAAGTTGTATAAAGACTTTCATAACATTACTTATAATAAAATGAAAGAAAGAAAAGAAGCAAGACAGATATTTTATAATATAGTTGGAAAATGGTTAAACAATTCTGACATGACAAAATGTCCAAGTAAGTATTCAGTTATATAATGCTAAGTAGAAAAAAGGCATAATGCTAAATAGATAAAACTCTGATTAGTACTAGTCAAAATCAGTGACAAAATTCTGAATTCTAACATTGAATATTCAGGGTTTTTTCTATAAGTATAATTTATTATTTAAGAATTGTTTAAACCTGACACCAGTGGCTTATACCTACCTGTAATTCCAGCTACTTGGGAGACTGAGAAGGAGAGGACCATGGTTCAAAGCCAGTTGAGAGACTACCCCCCCATTTCCAAAATAACCAAACAAAAATGGACTGAAGGTGTGGCTTGAGCAGTAGAGTACCTGCTTTGCAAGTATGAAGCCCTGAGTTCAAACCTCAATCCCACCAAAGAAAAAAATTAATATATATTTACTCCTAATCTTTTTCGTGTGGTCTGTGCCCTCCCAGCCTAATTAGCTCCCACAAGTCCAATTAATAGTTTCATCACATTGGGGATTAGGTTTTAACATGTGAATTTTGGGAACTCAAACATTGAGACCATGGCAATCATGCTGTATTTTGGTAAATCACGTTTGCTTTTTTTTTTTTTTTCTGGGATTTGAACTCAGGTCTTCATACTTGGTAGGCAGATGCTCTACCACCAGCCTTTTTTTGTTGTTGGGTATTTTTGAGATAGGTTCTTGAGAACTATTTGTCCGGGCTAGCTTCTACCCTCTATCCTCCTGAGCTCTGCCTCCCGAGCAGCTAGGGTTACAAGTGTGTGCCACCAGCACCTGGCTTGTTTTTACTTTTTGAGACAAAGTCTCACTATGTAGCCCAGACTGGCCTTAACTCCAGATCCTCCTACCTCAGCCTCCCAAGTGCTGGGACAGGTATGAGCCATCACGCCTGACTTTGCTACATTCTTTAACTAGGAAGAACATAATTTTTCAAGAATGAAAGCATTATAAGTTGAACATTAATTTTTATTTACTTAATTTTATTTATTTATTTATTTACACACCAGATCATTCATCAGACATTGATTTTTTTTTTTAAGTCAAGCCAGCTGGCACTATATGTAGACTCAGAACAAAGAAAAATGTGCTTAATAGGTACTAATGTAGTATAGATAATAAATTCTTTGGATACTTTTAAAAATTGACATGGAGAAGAATATTAAGGTAATTCTTTTTCACACAAAGAACCCATAGCTTTTATATTTTAACATACAAATAATTCCTTAAATTCAACTGAATTGGTAAAACATTGTTTAGGGTCCTGCAAATGTCTTGATAAAACACATCTGACTTGTGAGATACATAATTCATTGTACTAAACTGTTTTTTTCTTAAGGCTTCCAGACAAGCTTCAGGAATTCCAGGGATTACACCAACTGAAGAAAAGTAAGTAATTTATTTTTTTAATGAAATAAAGTTAATTCTTCATTTTTGGTGTCAGAACTAAGCCATATATATAATATTTGTTGCTGTTGTCTTATAGTGCTAGGGGTAAAACCCAGGACCTTCCTCTTACTACAAAAGTGCTCTACCACTGAGCTACATCCCTAGTCCTGAACCATGGTTGTAGATTACTCATTTACTTATTAAATTTACCTCTGGGCATACAACCTAAATCTTGTTAAGAACTGAAAGAGGGCTGTATAAACCCAAACCATTAGTTGCTTTCACTTGTAAGGACAGAATTAAGATAGGAGGAAAGAAGGAAAAACTTGCAACAGCTGGCCTGATCATTCTGATTCTTGCTATAGCAGAATGAAGTGGCATAGACGTTGAGTAGACTCTTGTCAGATGTTCCTTGTGCTGCTTTCTTATTTCCTATTGAAGTGTTATGAATTCTCAAAATTCTCAGAAAAATCCATATCTAAAGTATAAGTATGGAAGCATAGTGAGAAGGTGAATATAATTGAGTTTTGGATTTTGCATTCATTTGAATTTCATGAACCCTTAGTGTCGTGTTAGTATAGTTAATTTAGAGTCAACTATGTTTTTTCTGATTTTTTTCAAGTTAATTAAAAATTTTTTGTTAAATATTGCTGTTTTATCAGAGATGGTAATCTTCCAGACATTGTGAACAGTGGAAGTTTGCACGAGTTCCTGGTTAATTTGCATGAACAATATGGGCCTGTGGTTTCTTTCTGGTTTGGCAGACGACTTGTGGTTAGTTTGGGCACTGTCGATGTACTGAAGCACCATATCAACCCCAATAAGACATGTAAGTTAAGTTTTCTTTTTGATTAGCTGATCCTTATCTTTGAAGAACTAATGTCTATTAATAACTATACCTTGTTCTTGGATAGGAATTACTAATAGTTATTAAGTGCTTCATGCAATGTGCTAGGCATTGTGCTGAAGTCTTTATTACCTCATTTAATAAGATACCGTGTTGTAAAATTATGGATTTTTTTTCTTTAATTTATAGATATATATAATATAATAACAATGTAAGTTACAACAGGATTTTTTTCAAGGAACCTGAAAAAATAGTTCCAGGGTACATCTGGAAGAGTTAATATACACAAGTAGCTAGGAAGAATCTAACTAAAGAATATTGATCAGACAGACAAAGGACTGATAACCAGAATATATAGGGAACTTAAAAAACTAAATTCTCCCAAAACTAATGAACCAATAAAGAAATGGGCAAGTGAACTA